CAGGAGAACTGTTTCTTGTTCTAATTTTCATTATTTTCTTTCCAAATTCTTCAGAGCTATTATCTATATTTGGCGGCGTTCTTAATCTTTTTTTGTAAGGTGTAGCACCAAGCGGTATTGTAGCTGAAGTTATAGAATTTTCAACATCAGTCAGTGTTACCGCTGATCCATCAGACTTGCCAGATTGGTCTGCTTGAATACTTTCTGCTTTGTTAAAGGTATCTTAGGAAAAAAAGTGTGTGATTTCAGACAATAATTTATCTTAAAAGAAACACAACAAATTAAAGTCATATAAACCTGTCTTAGCATAAATTTTTGTAATTTCATACTCTCTCCAGTTTGGATTAAATATACTGTAGTTTTTAGTTTTTTCCAAGGAGGAAGTCCATCGGCATTTCCATATTCCACAAACTTTATACAACCATGGCCGCGGAATAATGGCAATGTGCCCAGTGTGGAGAGCACAAACAACAAACTTTAAAAGAAAAAAGAAATTTCTCTTGAAAGATTTATGAACAAAACTGATTTAATAATTTTTATTATTGATTTATAATAACTTTGTTCATTCAAAATTTATTTTGTTTGTAATAACAATAATAATAATAAAAATAATAATAATAATAATAATAATAATAATATATATATATATATATATATATATATATATATATATATATATATATATATATATATATATATATATATATATATATATATATATATATATATATATATATATATATATATATATATATATATATATATATATATATATATATATAATATATGGGTATGTGAATTCCCTGACAATCCCTGACCTAGTTGAAAAGACACTTTTGCCTCTGACTTTCCGACTGTATAAAACCTGTACTATTTTGATTACAGACTATATAGAGTCTGTGATAGAAATAGTACATGTGTATAGTATATAGTAAAAATAGTACAGGTCGATAATAATATTTTTGTCATAGACTAGACTATGACAAAAATATTATTATTGATAAATAATATTATTAACATTATCATTAATAAACAATATTATTTATCAATGATAATGTTAATAATATTATCAAAAAATAGAAAATAAAAATAGTCTATTTCTATTTTCTATTTTATGATAAATATTAAACGAAAATTAACATTTTCTATTTAATAGAAAATTTTAATAAGAGAAACTGCAGTAGTGCTACACTCTAAAAAAAAAGGTAGAAATTTCAACCTTAGGGCAGGATATGTGATATACCTTTAGTAAGGTATAATTTTCTACTTTTTAAGGTAGAAAATTATACCTTTAAGGAAGATAATAGTCTGACAAAACATTGTTTATAATATAATTTTCTACCTTGAAAAGTAGAATTATACCTTACTAAAGGTATATCACATATCCTACCTTAAAGTAGAAATTTCTACCTTTTTTTTTTAGAGTGTAAGTAATGTATAATGACAGTATTTTTTCATCAATGATAATATTATAACTTTATTTAGCGCTAAATGTTATACCGGTTTGAAACATAGTCAGTTAATAAAATAAACTAAATGGTTTTATTTGGAGCTTTAACTTAACTACATAAAAATAGAAAATATAAATAATATCTTATTTATATTTTCTATTTTTAATAACTCTTTATGATAAAAAGTTTCTTCCTGATTAAGAATCATATAATAGGTGTGTCTAAAAAAGATAAACAAAGTTATTTAATTCAATTCTAAAGCTTTAAAAGTTACACTAAAATTCGAATATTCGACATCTTTTTTATGTCTTCCTATATAATATTATTTACACTCGGTTATGATAAAGCTCCAAATAAAATCATTTAGTTTCTTTTATAAACTGTTTCAAACCGGGTTCGATTTGCCCTATTGCGTTTGAAATTATCGGCTATATAAAACAATTGGCTGCAGCCAAATATATATTTTACTTGATGACATTCATGAAATATCATGAATGTCATCAAGTAGAAAGTATCATGAGGATTTAGTCGGCATTGGCTTTAGTTAATAATGAAAACTTGGCTTTAGTTAATAATGAAATTTACAGCCATATATGGCTCATGATACTTTCAACTAAGATAATTCTTTTATTTTTTTTTTATACTATAAAAAAAATAAAAGAATTTTTAGTTGAAAGCATTATGAACAGTGCCGCAAATACGGGCCCGCAGGGAGGGGCAGGAAAAAAGAGGCCCATTTTCAAGCTAATTTTAGGTTGTATGTGGGATGTGGGTCCCATTTTGAAAATTTGGCGGGGGGGGGGGAGAATTTGAAGTTTCGCTACTGATTATGAATCACCAAGCCCTTCTCTGTACCAAAAAACAACATTAAAAAACAACCTGTTATTATAATAACTATAAATTATGTTGTTTTTTGCCACAGCACTGACTTTATATTTACATTTTAAAAATTAAAAAACAACAATGAAATAAGTCTAAAATTAATTTCGTACCGTTTTTTTAACTTTTTCGCTCGGGTATCTTTCTGCCATCTTGATATACTTATTTCTAACTCAAACGCTTTTTTATCATTTCTAACTCAGACGTTCTCAAGCAAATTAGTATGAACGGAAGCAATTTGTATTTTATATTACAGCACGATTAGTTTTTGATATCATAATGATATCTCAAAATGAGTCTAAAAGTTGCTGCTTGAATATAAATAGAGAAAACCATAACACCTACATTTCCTTGTAATTATTATATAATAAAATAAGTAAATATTAGATAATAAATGTAAATATTAAGATAATAAAATAAGTTTTATAAATATAAGATAATAATATTAGATAATCCTTGTAAGTATTAGATAATAAAATAAGTTAACTTGGTAAAGTGTCGATATAGCTATGATATCATAATGATATCATAGTTCTTTTTTAAAATATTTTTAAATAACTACTTTTAACTCAGACGTTTTTTCATTATTTCTATCTCTTTCTTTAGGTTTTTCCGCAAATTAGTATATACGGAAGCAGTTTGTATTTTATATCACAGCATGATAAGTTTTTGACATCGTAATGATATCATTAAATGATTTTAAAAATCAAACATGCTACTTGAACATAGTAAGAGAAAACCATAACGCCTACGGTTCCTTAAAGCTGTTATATAAAATTAGATAATAAAATAAGTTAACTTGGTAATATTATGATATCGCTTTGATATCATAATGATGCCATTATTTGATATCATAACTTGAGAAAGTTTTGATACCATTCTGATCTTGCTTGTAGACTGGGAGAGACAAACTTAATGTTTATGGTGCTTTATAACTAATATATAAAATTCCAATATAAATTAAGTCAGCTAACTAAAGTTGTGATATCACTATGTTATTACAATGATATCATTATTTGATATCATAACTTGAGAAAATTTTAATAACATTCTGATATCTAAAAGATCTCACTTCTGGACTGGGAGAGAAAACCTTAATGTAAAAAACTAATATAAAAAACTCCAATATAAATTAAGCTAATCCTACTAAAGTTGTGATATCATTATGTTATCATAATGATATCATTATTTGATATCATAACTTGAGAAAGTTTTGATAACATTCTGATATCCAATTGATCTCCTTTCTAGACTGGGAGAGAAAACCTGTGTTTTTACGTTGCTTTATAACTAAAATACAAAACGCCAATATATAATAAGTTAATCAACGAAAGTTGCGATATCATTATGTTATCATAATGATATCATTATTTAATATCATAACTTGAGAAAGTTTTGATATCAATCTGATATCAAATTGATGTCGCTTCGTGACTGGGGTGGAACTCCGTTTAAAACATCGGTATAGTCGCTAGAGTGATTACCTAAAACTGTTCGTTGCTTTCTGCTAGTCAAAAATGACTCAACCCATTTGCCAACATTATCATTGATCCCAAATGCTTTTAATTTATGTATTAGTCTACGATGAGAAACTTTTTCAAACGCTTTTGCAAAGTCCAAAAATGCAAATGCAATTCTTTTGCTTACAACTTTTGTAATGTAGTCAATACTTTCCAATAAGTTTGACATACATCCCTTTTTAGACATAAATCCATGTTGATTATTTGAGATGCAGCTCGTTTTTTCAAGATATTTAGTTATCTGTTCCTTGATAATCTTTTCCATTACTTTACATGGAACTGAAGTGATAGACACTGGTCTGTAATAAGCGACATCAGGACGACTCCCTTTTTTAAACAACGGTGTAACATGTGACTGCTTTCAGGCTGAAGGTGTTGAGCCTACAGACAGTGCTTTATTGTAAATTAATGTTAGAGGGTAAGTCATTTGAGCTGCACATTCTTTAAGTACCTTTTGACTAATGTTATCAACACCAATAGACTTGTTCAGGTTCAAACCATTCAAATTGGCTAGCGTCGCTTCAAAACTTATTATTACATCGCCTAAGTCTTTTACTTTATTAATTTTTTTTTTCTTTCTATTTTTACGAATAAAAAAATTCAAAACCTTTTTTTTTTTTAATTAGACTCACTAATTAGAGCAAGAAATTAGTAAAAATTACTATTTTAAAAAGACCATTTTATTTTTTTTTTCAATTTTTTTTTTTTAACTTTTTTAACAAAATAAATGTTTATACAATTTAAAAATATTATATAAAACACTTTTTAATAAATTTAATAAAATTTGTTCATTTATTAAACCAATCATTAGTGGTAATTTGTAATTTGTAATTAAAAACGCAACAAAAAGTTTTGCTTTAAGCTTAAGTTTTTATTTTCACTTTAGTGCTTATATAATTTCTTTTTCGTTAAGAATTTGTTTTTCGTTTCTTTTTTCGTTAAGAATTTTTTTTCGTTAGTTTTATTTTTTTTATTTTTTTCCTAGCTTAAGTTTAGCTTAGCGTTTCTACATTCAGAACATTTATGAAATTTTTAACTTAAATTTTTAATGCGGTAGTGGTGTAGTGGTAAAACACTCGCTTCATAAGCGAGAGGTTCCGAGTTCAATCACCACCACGTCCCTGGTTATACCGCGCTCAACTTGTTTCTCCGCGCAGCGCCATTGTTCATCAAGGCTCGTGTTTCAGAGTTATAGAGTTGAGCGAGGCTTATAACCACTAGTAAGTAGCCTCCTCGTCTGTCGTGGTCTTCTCGGCCTTGAGGAGGTGAATAACAAAAAAAAAAAAAAAAAAAAAAAAAAAAACTCATCAAAACATATAAACATAGTTTATTAAACAATCGTGGTCAAATTATCAATAAATAAAATCATTTGCGTGGTCAGCAATAGTGCTTGATCGCACGCCATTCCTGTCTAAACCTGGTGTAATTGGTTTAAACAGGAATGGTTTAATTGACTTGTGAGAGGAGCGTGTGCCCGCCCCCCCCCGCCCTCACACACACACCTAAAAAAAAAAAATCTTTATAATAACAATTATAATTATTTTAAAGTGAGTTTAGAATTTAAAACCTGATTTTGGCTTATGGCACCAGGTATAACCTAAAAGCTAAAGTTGTAGACCACAACCAAACCTGCTTTTGAAAAAAGCAGCTATTCGTAAATTTTAGTTGTATTGAGAAGTTTGTTGAATAGGGTGGTGATGGTTACCCACATCTTAAAATAAAAAGATATTGAATTCTTAAAAACAAGTGCATCTTTAATAAACAAAATAAACTAGTATATTTCATTTTTTGATATTTCATTAAATATATTTTATTTCATTACCAAAAATATCAGTGTTGTATCCTATAAAAAAAGTGTAACAATCAATTTTATTTTGTTCAGTATTAAAACATTTAAATGCAAGTTTAAATAGTTATCTTTTACTAAACAATTAAAATAATCAATTTCATAAATGGAACACTAAAATAATCATTTGTAGCGATAGACATTGCGCGAAGATAAGCCAGAGCCGCCTATCAAAATATTTTGGAAATCACAACCCTTGTGTAAAGGTCATTCCAAGTCAAATACTTTTTATCTTCTCTAAAAACATTTATGAAAAAAAGTATAATAAAAACATATGGTTTAGTACCTGGCATACTTCACTTGATATGACTATCTTTTCAAGTTTAATGACTTGCGATAGCTTTATGCAAGTTTCATCACATGCGGTATCTATTTTGCAAGTTTCATCACTTAAGGTATCTACTATTAAGATAATATTACTTGTAATGAAAGTTTCATTACAAGTAATATTATCATAATTATTACACTTAATATTATCATAAATATTACACTTCAAAAAAAGATCAACTCTCCTGGTCCAACATCAGCGGAAGCTGAAATTTTTTCATGTTGTAGTCAACACCTTCAGTTTCAGTACTATTTTTTTTTTAGTAAGAAATTGTGTAAATTTTGTCTTGTTTTGTTTTTTAAAGTTTTTCTTTTCTATCATCAGACATGACATACTTCGAATACTCACTATCGTTCTAGTCATGGTAGAGTTTTTGCCCAACAATTCTATCTGACATTACATCATCTTATTCATAAAGTTGTTTGATAGACAATGTATATAAACTTTTTATTTCATTTTAAGAGAGTTCATGCAACTGTCATTTTATCTTTCTTTTGTCTTTTTCATCTATTTTTTGGCATTTGCATGCATGTTTTTTTGAAATATCTGCTCGTATATCATTATGCTTCATTTGCTTTATTCTTCTTTTTTTATGGGCTATCTGAATGGACCACATAACTACATTTTCTCTAGATAATTGATCTAAACTATCTAGGTAACTTAAAGTTTGATTCTTTTTTGATCTTAATTTGTATGAAGTATAACAAATTGTTGCATTTGGTAATCTTTCTTCAGCCTCACTAAACATTCCCATTAACTTTTTACTATCTATATTGTGAAGCCTTGTACTTGCTACCTCCTCCTTGAGAGTCTGGTAAATAGAAAGGGAGAAATATCTCTTATATTAATGTTTTACGATGTCTCCCACTGCAATAAGACAAGCAGAAGTCATATTGATAAAGTGTTCATCAATAAAGCAAATAAATTTTATTGGATCTAAAGTATTTGTTTCAAGGTCATTACAAAAAGTGAACCAAGATTTAATTTAGAATCTGTAATTTTTAGTAAAACATTTTTTAATACCCAGATTCCACTCAAACGGCCAAAATTTGCCACCTCAACAGTCACATAAAACTTTGTCATCCAGGCTGGAAACTGGATGAAAAAGTTTTATGTGACTGTTAAGGAGGTGGTTTTCCAAATAATACAAGCACACACTTTTATTTTAGACCTGTTTTGTTACAAAATGCTGCTTTTAGAACAGTTTGTAGAGTTCTGCATTTTACTGTTCCAATGGTTAAAAAATGCTCAAACTCATTTTAATGTTTTATAAAAATAAAACAACTACAAAAAAATATGAAGACGATTTCCTTGATACTTTGGAATGATACCTCGTGGTAGTTTTTGATTATCTAAAAACTAACAAATCTTTTTGGATCACTTTTGCCATGTTTAAACCTCAACTTGTTCATAGCCAAAACTATTTTAAGTGTCATACAATCATAGTCAGCCATGAGGTAGCAATTGTATCAAGAG